TCATTCGCCTCGTTGGGCAAATTAGAATTCAGTTTGTTCGTCTCGCTGGGCAATTCACTTGTTTTATTCGTCTCGTTTGGCAAATTAGAATTCAGTTTGTTCACCTCGCTGGGCAATTCATTTGTTGTATTCGCCTCGTTGGGCAAATTATAATTCAGTCCTGTATGCCTCGCTGGGCAATACTCATGGAACAACAGATTCATGAAAGAATATCGTCTTCCACTCGAGTCATCACTAAAAAGCGTTCGCTACCCTCAGGAATACTTCCCCAAATTCTTAAATTTACACCTGACATGACAAGCTACTGAGTAACTTACCATTTTAGTAAAAAGCTTCCTTTCGCATCAAGAGATGACAAATGTACAAGGTACTCAACGAACGCGACGAATGTACAAGGTACGAACGATCAAAGATTCGCAGACTTTCTACGCAGTGGAGCCTGGGAGCTGCTAACAAACAGATAACCTCAAGTCGAGATATCAACACAGAAATGGGATGCTGCCATATCACGGGCAGCAATAATAGCGGAGCTCCGGCGACCCGAACAGCTGCCAAGCGGAACCCCATACTCATATACGAAAGAAAAGGAAACCCATGAGTTGATTTTCTCATGGTTATCATGGCTAGCGGTATTGCTCGTGGGCGCGTAGGCACGACGGCGACGGCGGCGACGACGGAGTCGCGCAACATGGCGGCCATACTCCAAATAATAGGTTGACAGAGACATACGGCCTTGGTTTACCGTGTACTTTTTGATATTGAGACATCCATGTCATATCAATTGACACCTGTCAAAACAAGGTATCTGCTGACCAGTATCACGTGACCATATCGCGGGCTCAAGTTTACAGCTCATCGAGCTCACGTGTTTTTTTGAAGTTGACCGCTGACCAAGTGCTGGTTTTCGATTGGGTCGTGGGCTCATGTCAGGTTAACTTGTTGTTAACAGGACAGGATTGTTCGGAAGCCGGTTAACGCTAACCCAAGATTAAAAGTTAACCGAATTATAACTTTTTCTTCTATACAAAAGTTTTTTGCTGCTTTGTTGGTGATCATTAGAACTCAAAACAGAAGGCGCAAAGTTACAAAACTCAAATCAAAATTCTACGTTTTCCTGGGTTAGCTTAATCGGGCTCTGAAGAACCCGGCCCAGGAGCTTCGCTTTTAGGCTGGCCTAAATCTCTGTGTTACAAACCTTTAAAAAACAATAACACATGCATGTATAATTTATTTTGTTCTCCAAACTCCCCCACATTTCCTTACATGTCCTGTATCTCATTAAACCAGTTCTACCATCGATCTTATCTCATTAACGCAATGATGAATAAATCATCATCTGAGGTATACTACTCTGACCCTTGTTTTTTATACGGAAAATCGTTTCTATTTTCTTGTGTCCTGACACGAATTTCTTAAATATAGAATTTCTGTCTGTACTAGGTTTGGGCTTATTTCAAATCTTATTTAAAATACACATCTACCTCTACATGTATAGAGTCACTCGCAGATATCACGCTAAATAGAGCTAATTAAAATATCGCAAAACGCTGAGCAAAGAATCGAAAAGAAGTTCTCTGACAACGCAATATGACTAGAGCTAGCAACGACTACTGCTTAAGGCTACCTCTCAGATTACTCAAGCTCCCAAAGCTCTGTCACGTGACATTGCGTTCTCAAAGTGACTGACAAGATGTTGCCAGTTTATTGGGCTTATGCAAACATAGTCCATAGACCCACAATAACGGATGATTGACCGACCTCTCATTTGCATATGTTTTGCAGATCACCTACTAAAAATGGGCCATTACATGAAAATTAGCAAATTTGATATTTTGTTTCGTTTGGACAAGCATAAAAACAAACCAGTGGACTTGCGTAAAGTAAATATGGAAAATTAAAGATTCATTATGGCTTGATTGTACACTGAGAGAACGGTAATCGTAAACGCAAAACTCTTCAAAACTGAGAAAACCGAGTCAAGTTCTGCATATTACCTTTACAGTTAAGATCACTAGGCCGTCTGAAACGACTCCTTACCTTCTTTCTCTCCCAGAGCAGATCCAAATTAAAGAGACCATCATAAATGCAACTAACACACCGCCAAATGTTATTAAAAATATGCCAAACGAGGTTAGGCGTGCTGCAGTCGGTGAAAGTCGTTGTGCCGGTTGAGTAGTAGAGTCGATCAGTTGTCTTGTGGGGGTCACTACAGTAGTTATGCTTGCTAATGAACGAGTGGAATATTTTGTGCGATCTGGCTGAATACTTGGTTGATTTGGCGAAATAAGACTGCTTGCCATACTTGATTTAACGGAACTTGCACACCTCAAGCACCACGGACTACTTGACGAATGGCTAGTTCTTGTGGTTAGTCCCAAAGATCCAGAGAAAGTTGTCGAGGAACTGGAATTAAGCCCTGTGATACAGGAGTGATATAAACTAATGATCAGTAATGTAATCTTAGTATGAAATTTGAATCCCAAATATCCCATCTTCCATTATGTGCAAGACAAATATTTACATCCCTTAGCACCACAAGTCGGCCACAACACGCTCAAATATAAGCAAGATTTAGACAAACTTAGCAGTAGTCGATAACGACTTAAGAGATCACTTCTCTTATGGACCTCTACTTCAGCTCCACTCGATTCATCTTCTTAACTTTTCTACAATCTGATGGGTTATTTTTCAAACGTCTTCGCGTAAAAAATAAACGAAGATCAAATGAACAACTCTGATTAAAATTGTCCGCTACAGGTTTGCGTTGCCGGCAGATCCTGCCGATAAATTTTAAAAGTCTCAATAAGGATCTAGTCAGTTGATGACCGTAATAGGGAAAACACAACAGTGGTCTTGAACTGCCTGCTCAAGTCACATCTTAGACCAAGTTTTATGACGTCTCCACCACCCTGCGAACAGAGTCTCTTCGCCGGATCGTCCTAGAAAATCAGTTTTAATGGGAAGATCGAAGGAAAATCTGCTCGCATGATTCGTTTTCACAAGGGTGTTACAGAAGCTACGCCGTTTGTTCCCTACGAAAAAACGTATATGGGCATGGATGACATCTAAGAGAAAACAAAAATGGGATGCAAAGATATGTGTATGAAATCCGCTTTTGCCATAATCATGTATGAATAATAGACTGTGTGATAGGTTTATGAGACGTTCAGTTCTCAACAACGGCTGTCAACAATATAATTTTCAAAAGGAATGATAAAAGAAAGATTTAAAACCACTTAATAAGTTTCAAATGTGCATTTTTCCTGCTTGAAAACTGCTTTCAACCTTGATCGACCAGTTTTCGGTGAAGTAAGTGGTTTGTTTAAACTTTCGTGTAACACATATTTTGGTTGCTATCAATAATTTGTCGAATTCCCTTTCTGCGCGCGAGTGAATACATTAGTCGACAGTAACATGGTCAAGTTAGGTCGAAGTCAAAAGTGGTTCAGAGATGATAGAATTAAGCTAGAAAACTTTCCTTTTCCGCAAAAAGATGTAAATATAACTATTCATTAAAATGACTTTCTTTAAGAATAGTATTTTTCACACACAAGTAGTAACAAAATGTCGCAGCAACTCATGTTAACGAAAGTTAAAACCTGCATTACGTTTAGTTCAGGAAGAACCTTGTGGAAAACCTTTTTTTTACATCAAAGGCAGTAAAACTTTGAAATTATTTCTTACCTTCACAGCTAGAGAATATTATCTCTTGCAGCGCAACCAGTATGAAAGACAGGAATGCACACGTATCCATACCAGCTCCACACAGATCCGTATCTAGCTGCGGGATCAAAGCTCTTTATAGTACAATAAATTTTGCTAAATGAACGATTATTTCAACACAATGAAAAGTTCTTAAAGCCGGTAATTACCTTTTCGACTTTGAAGAAAGCGAGCGTTCACTACCGATAAGATTGTCTCTAGCTTTTGAGAAAAGTAAACAGTAACAAAATTAAAGTATCCTTCTGCCAATAACATGATCAATTTGAAATGTCATTCATATTAGACTTCCTTCGTCAAGATACAGATCCAGTGTCAATCTCCTGGCGAATGTTTTTTTAACCGGGGGCGCTTTCTATTCAACCGAAAATTCCGAAATTATCGAAACGGGGACAAATGGTAAGGACATTTCCAAGGAAATGTTCCACAAAATCCGGAAACTGTCGACCGAAAAGCGCAACATTCCAGAAATTCAAGAATGAAAATCAAATGGAACGGAAATTTCCAGGGAAAAAATGTTCGAAAATTTGGGTATACCTCAGGAGGTTGTCCTCTTGTTCAGAAATTATGTAAATTCGTAATTTTCTATTTAGTAAATAGATTCCATGTTGCTGTGCGTCTGTTCAGTAGTAGATCACAGGTGACGCCAAAATGTGGTAAGAACAGAAAAGGTGGCACATTCACGAAGTCAAGTGAGTTTTTGTCATCAGAGCACCCCTGCGAGCTGAAAAACCTGGACGATGCCTTGAATACTGCAGGAGTTGAAAAAGCCGTTTGGAAAACTTGGGGTTGCGGTCAACATTGGTGGCCATTCGATTCGAAGGAGCGTTACTGACGGTGGAAATCTGTGTCCTCCGTATTGACGATTCTTAAATCAGTTTGATATATTGTCAGAGACAAGCTGTAGTGAGCTAAACTTTGTTCGCTGCTGTGAGCTTAGGAGGACTGGAAAATTCGCGTCGGATAGCAAGGTTATGTGCTTATTTACAACAAGTGGTGTTGTGATGTTTCATTCCTGACATCAATCTGTGTCAACAATTATTTGACTGTCGAGAGAAGTTTAATTTTTTTTAAATAAATTAATCTCAAACATTTTGCTTATTAGGTTTGTTAATTGGTTTAGTTTCGCTCGACTGCCGACTGAGACTGCTCGAGTGTTTTTCCAAAACAGAAGCGACTATTTCTTCGTTCTTCCTCTCGTGCGCCCGGTTCTTGAATTCGCTGCTCCGGCCTGGAATCCATATTTGTCTAAGGATAAGCTAGCGTTAGAAGAAATTCAGCGAAGAGCCTCTCGGCTTGCTCTCGGCCAAAAACGTGGAGAGATGGAAAACGAAGATCGTTTAAGGAAGCTGATGTGGCCTACACTCGAAACACGGAGACTGTTTCTTTCTTTAGTTGAGTGCAATAAGATCGTTTTTGGCATAAATAAACTAAACTTTGACGATCTCTTTGAATTCCGTTATCAAGTGCAATTCAACCCTCGCTAACCACCCGTATAAGCCGTATGCTAAGCCAGCAAAGTGTAATCCATATAAATCTGATAAATATTCTTTTCCCATCCGAATTGTGCGGGACTGGAATAGTCTACCAAGGTCTATTGTTGAGGCTGGGAGCCTGATCCGTTTTAAGAGTGCGCTAAAGCGCTTCTTAAACGTACATTAATTGTTTGTCAAAGACCTGATTCATATTGTAAATAGTTTTTTTAATATTCTATTTTATATATTTTCATTGTACATAGTTCATATCTGTTTTATCCTTTTATTTAAGGAAACGCCATAGGGTCGACCTCTAGTTTTCCTTTTCAAGATGTGCTTTTTCTTCATTGTATTTTATTTTCATCATCTCGAATAAAACACGTTGTCATCTTGTCATCTTGAAGACACAAAATGTTTCATATTTTTCACTTTTTAAAATCTGATATAGTTTTTGGAATTGTAAATCCCTTTTCGAGAATATCTAATGCCATCTCAAGTGAGAAAAGTTGCCTGATTTCAATGCCTTTCCTGTTAACTTATATTGACGTCAGGACAGTAAAGTTTTTCCCGCCTGCTGAATCCTGATCGGTCAATTCAAGTTTCAGGCGCGCCAGCCCTATGCAAGGATATATGCGTAACATACGGCTGGCGAGCCTGAAATATGCAAGGATATGAGAGTAAGGGGGACGATCGTTGTTGGGATGTAGACGTGCTTTGGATAGCTCCGCTCACCGTTTGAGTTGAAAATCAAGAAGTAGCAACACGTCCGGCAGTTCTGTTGAAACTTCGCCGGGGAAAAAAGGTAGAAACAAGCCTTGATTCTGCTAGCTCTTTGGAAGGTCACTTGCCTCAGTAGTTATGTCATCTACTTTGCGATCAGGTGGGTGACTATCAAAAGTATAACAATACGTTTTGTAGGCCCTTAAGGATATATAGCTAGTGCAATGTACGATATATACAGATGTACGTACCTCCATGGCTTAAGTTTAACTTAGAAAAAAGGTGGAAACAGTGCGTTGAATAAGTCGAACGGCTACGACGAAATAATTGCGGCGCTGAACCTTACAGACAGCGTTACCGAGAAATTAGATCTTATACTTTTCAAGCTTATCAGCCTAGCTTCGAGGATGGAAGAACTAAACCTAACAGCAAAGGGAATACAGGATAAGGTCTCCCATCTGGAGAAAGAAATTGCTTCTGTCCAAGACAAACAGAAATCTGTCGACGGGAAATTTTCACACATGGCAAAGAATGCTGAATTTGTGGACGAACAAATTATAGAGCTACAGACCAGTACGGACAAGAGAAAGAATGAAGTTAGCGAATGCCGAAAACAAGTCCTTTACCTCGAGGCGTACAGCCGAAGGGAGAACCTTAAGTTTGAGGGGTACCCGAATTAGTTAAAACGTCTGGTCAACAAAATACAACCTCGAATGAGGATACGAAGAAAGTAACACACTGACGACCATACTGCAACCCCTTACTGACAAATCAAGACGCAAACTACAATCTACGGAGAACTTTATTGACGCTATTAAGACAGTACAGATACCTGACCACTACAAACTTGTGTCTTTTGATGTGAAATCACTGTTCACCAGTATTCCACTTCAATTGGCATTACAGTG